GCCCTAAGTAACGATTCTGTGTCCCTGAGTAACGATTCTGTGTCCCTGAGTAACGATTCTGTGGCACTGAGTAACGATTCTGTGGCCCTGAGTAACGATTCTGTGGCCCTAAAGTCTCTGTGGCCCTAACTCTGTCCCTTAATACACACAGGTCTGTCTCTCTTGAATGACCGGAGGCTAATGGAGAATTCTAAGATGGCCGCGATTTATAGCTCCACCATTACACAGTGCTGGCTGGCTGCTGATTGGCTAATGCGATCACATGTCATGAATGCATTATGGGTCAGCGCGCCTTGTCTGCGCGCCTTCCCAGAGATCCCCGCCCCATCTTCTCTGTCCATTTTCTCTGTCGCCACACGTCGCTGCCATTTTTGGGAAAATTTGATTCGTGCATCCGAAGTTTGCTAATCTTTGGATTCGTCGCGAATAGAATTTTTCCAAATCTTCGGAACGAATTCCACTTCGTCATGTTCGATTCGCTCATCTCTAGAAATAATCCATGACTTAAAGTTGCTAAATTACGGTTACCAAAGGATAGGGTAGGGTTGGCGGTACCGCATACTAAGTTATTCTTTCTAACCGCTCAACTTCAACATTTAATGTGATAAGGAAAGACGTGTAAAGGAGGCCCTAACCAAGGTATCCTTTTGCAACGCACTGATAAGTGCCTTTTGTTAGCATAACTAAAGTCGAGTATTGAGCATACCTCCTCACAATACCTACCTCTGGTGCTGCTAAATAAGGTTTGATTAGAAATGAAGCAACTCATGCATTATGATGACATTACAACTCATACACTGATATGGCATAATCCCAGGCTATCAGAACTGAACAAATTGGAGAGGTTGGTATCAGGCAGGGATACACTTTGTCCATCAATTGTATACCCAGGGTATATTAAAATCATTCCAGTTCCCACAGCAAGAATATCAGTTGCCCAGTCATAGTTTTTATCAATATCTACAACTTTGCCATGCTCTTTCCACCCAGGCAAAATCTACTATCCTAAAGCTTATTAACACTCCGTTGATAGACACAATTGCTAATCCAAAATAGTATGATTGGTAATACCTTGTTGCCCTGTAGGAGGGAATGGGAGATACTGCTGGTCTTGGGGAAATTGCTGAGAAATACTGACAAAGAGTGGAGGGACAGGTGGTTATGATTTCCTTATTTGCCCAGAAGCTGATATAATTATTTATAATACATGGAGTGTATCACACTCCCCAGAAGCTCTTCCAGTGGCACCGTAGAGATATTTCTGAATGCCCAAGGTCTTTGAATGGTCCTGCTAACTTATTGCATATGCTTGGGAGGTGTCCTAAGTTGTTTTGTTACTGGAAAGAAATAATATCCATCCCAAACAAAAGAAAATTTTTCAGCATACTTACTAGCTAGCCTGCAAGAAAACCAGATTGACCCTGGATAACAATTCACAATAAACACAGAGGGTTTAATTGCACATATGTGTGAAAGTTGCAGTTCCCTCTGTATACTGCGGTCCTAACTCTATCATTTTGAGAGCAATATTATCCCCAGGAAGTCTTGTTCCCAGTTTTTAGATTACTGTTAATGGCTCGCAAACTCATAGCCATGAAATAGATCTCACCAAACTCTCCTACAGTAGTAGAATTTTGCAATAACTCTAATTTTATTTTTCTGAGAGAAAAATTGATTTATCAAAATAGGGGGTGCCCACAGAAGTTGATAAACTCTGGGACCCATTGCTATCGACACTTGGATTGAATCCATTGACTCTTGTTAAACAGAGATTATTTCAGGGGCAAACTCTGGGGTTGCAGAGGGGAATGGTTATCCTAAATAGAATTGGTGAACTGTACCAAGGCATTAATGATCGGGTGGCAGCGCTGTACGCATGGATAAGTGAAATTCCAGGGAAACGCTGTGGAGAGCACAGGTTAGTAGTTGTAAGTGCTGTGTTGTAAAAGCTAGGAAATATTAATCATACACCTCTGGTTATGTGCCTGTATCCCTCTTTTTTACGGTTTATTATACACTGATATGTGCAAGTTTGAAACATTAGCTCATGATGCATGGTTATAGATATGTACTGATTACACTTTGATGGCCTGCATTGTATCTGTGCATTGTACTTATCTTGTGTTTCTATGCTTTGGATCTGGAGGTTATGTCCACTGCCTATTTAACCTGTTTGGGTTTTTTTTCTTGTTTATTTTTTTTGTCTGAAAAATCTAAAAAAAATGAATTAAGAATACAGTCAGGTCCATAAATATTGGGACATCGACACAATTCTAACATTTTTGGCTCTATACACCACCACAATGGATTTGAAATGAAACAAACAAGATGTGCTTTTAACTGCAGACTGTCAGCTTTAATTTGAGGGTACTTACATCCAAATCAGGTGAACGGTGTAGGAACTACAACAGTTTGCATATGTGCCTCCCACTTGTTAAGGGGCCAAAAGTAATGGGACAATTGGCTTCTCAGCTGTTCCATGGCCAGGTGTGTGTTATTCCCTCATTATCCCAATTACAATGAGCAGATAAAAGGTCCAGAGTTAATTTCAAGTGTGCTATTTGCATTTGGAATCTGTTGCTGTCAACTCTCAAGATGAGATCCAAAGAGCTGTCACTATCAGTGAAGAAAGCCATCATTAGGCTGAAAAAACAAAACAAACCCATCAGAGAGATAGCAAAAATATTAGGCGTGGCCAAAACAACTGTTTGGAACATTCTTAAAAAGAAGGAACGCACCGGTGAGCTCAACAACACCAAAAGACCCGGAAGACTGCGGAAAACAACTGTGGTGGATGACTGAAGAATTCTTTCCCTGGTGAAGAAAACACCCTCCACAACAGTTGGCCAGATCAAGAACACTCTCCAGGAGGTAGATGTATGTGTGTCAAAGTCAACAATCAAGAGAAGACTTCACCAGAGTGAATACAGAGGGTTGACCACAAGATGTAAACCATTGGTGAGCCTCAAAAACAGGAAGGCCAGATTAGAGTTTGCTAAACAACATCTAAAAAAGCCTTCACAGTTCTGGAACAACATCCTATGGACAGATGAGACCAAGATCAACTTGTACCAGAGTGATGGGAAGAGAAGAGTATGGAGAAGGAAAGGAACGGCTCATGATCCTAAACATACCACCTCATCAGTGAAGCATGGTGGTGGTAGTGTCATGGCGTGGGCATGTATGGCTGCCAATGGAACTGGTTCTCTTGTATTTATTGATGATGTGACTGCTGACAAAAGCAGCAGGATGAATTCTGAAGTGTTTCGGGCAATATTATCTGCTCATATTCAGCCAAATGCTTCAGAACTCATTGGACACCACTTCACAGTGCAGATGGACAATGACCCAAAGCAGACTGCAAAAGCAACCAAAGAGTTTTTTAAGGGAAAGAAGTGGAATGTTATGCAATGGCCAAGTCAAGTACCTGACCTGAATCTGATTGAGCATGCATTTCACTTGCTGAAGACAAAACTGAAGGGAAAATGCCCCAAGAACAAGCAGGAACTGAAGACAGTTGCAACAGAGGCCTGGCAGAGCATCACCAGGGATGAAACCCAGCGTCTGGTGATGTCTATGCGTTCCAGACTTCAGGCTGTAATTGACTGCAAAGGGTTTGCAACCAAGTATTAAAAAGTGAAAGTTTGATTTATGATTATTATTCTGTCCCATTACTTTTGGTCCCTTAACAAGTGGGAGGCACATATGCAAACTGTTGTAATTCCTACACCGTTCACCTGATTTGGATGTAAATACCCTCAAATTAAAGCTGACAGTCTGCAGTTAAAGCACATCTTGTTTGTTTCATTTCAAATCCATTGTGGTGGTGTATAGAGCCAAAAATGTTAGAATTGTGTCGATGTCCCAATATTTATGGACCTGACTGTATGTATTTAAAAAAAATAGAGCACACATGCATGCATACATATTTCTTGCGGCTATTTCAATATTTTTCCGACTTCAGTGCAGACATCTACAAGACCTGGGATTCTTTATTACCTCTTGGTTTGAGCTCTGCTGGCTGTACATGTCAAAGATCATAGGCTTAGGCTCCTTTCACATGGGCATGTTATTGTGGTAAATCTAAGTGGTTGAGGCACACTTTTAAAATGCCTTAGCCACCTGTCAAACATGGCAGATTGGCCCCATTCAGATAGTGGCAGCTTCAAAAAGAAGAACATGTCATATTCAGTGGTTGATCCTGCCACCTACACACCCCATAGGAGTGAATGGATCCATATGACGAAATCACCTCATCAAATCTATGTAGCTGTGCCGTAGTAAAGAGGGATTTCAGTGTGAAATCTCTCCTCAGACAGACTTGCCAAAGGTAGCATATCGCCTTCTGATTTCCTGCTAACCATTGGCCAGTTGCTGCTGACAAAGTGATCCACTGCAGATTGCAAGTCAGTAGCTTTGCACATGTGAAAGGGACCTTAGCATTTCCATTTGCTTCTATATTTGCAGGGGGCAATGCACATCACTGCTCATTCCAGTCCCACCGTATGTTCTGCTTTCTCATTTGAGTGGAAGGAAAGAAAATTGCTTGATTCCCCCATCAACACAGTGTTGATGGGGGAATCCCTCCTGCAGTGCTACTGTTGTCTGTTGGTGGAGGGGGCATGGGCCTGCAGAAGTTGGGTTTAATACCACTCTAATTAAAACCACTTTTAGTGGTCATCCAGACCTAAATGAGCATTGAACCATTGCATTGCTGGTGCAGCCCCACTGCAAGGGAGCATTTTTTTCTTTCCCTGCAGGTGCGTTTTTAATGGTTCATGTTAAAGTTCAGTTTGTGTTACACTGATTTAATTTTAGCAAACAAATGGCTGACAGAATCGTGTGCCTATTAAATAAAAATCAAGCTGCAAAGGATCTACGGTCATTTCTCTGTGTGCTTGCACAGTAAATATTAATGTACTTGGTTACTTTAATGTGCTTGTTATTGACCTGTGAGTTCAATTATATGAATGATCATGTTATAACTCTTTTTTTTCTAGATATTGATGAATGTGCCACTATCCTGGGGATCTGTGAAGCCGGTGAATGTGCTAATACAGTGGGCAGTTACTTTTGCAAGTGTCCATCAGGATTTTTTACATCGGCGGATGGATCAAGATGTATAGGTAAACGTCCCAAAGTCTATACAGTATATATGTGCCACACACATACACAGTAAAAGATGCTCAGGTTCCCATATGGAAGAAAAATAATATATTTTAAAAATATTCTTCCCAAATATATTGCCATATATTTGAAACACTACAATTTTGGCCAAATTCAATATTAAAAAAAAAATATATATATATATATATATACAGTCATGGCCGAAATTGTTGGCACCCTTGATATTTTTCCTGAAAATCAAGTATTTCACACAAAAAAGGTATTGCATTAACACATGTTTTGCTATACACATGTTTATTCCCTTTGTATGTATTGGAACAAATATAAAACAGAGGCAGAAAAGCAAATATGACATAATGTCACACAAAACCCCAAAAAATGGGCTGGACAAAAGTATTGGCACCCTTAACTTAATATTTGGTTGCACACCCTTTGGAAAACATAACTGAAATCAGTCGCTTCCTATAACCATCAATAAGCTTCTGACACCTCTCACCCGGAATTTTGGACCACTCTTCCTTTGCAAACAGCTCCAGGTCTCTCTTATTGGAAGGACACCTTTTCCCAACAGCAATTTTAAGATCTCTCCACAGGTGTTCAATGGGATTTAGATCTGGGCTCATTGCTGGCCAAAGAACTCTCCAGCGCTTCTTTGCCATCCATTTCTGAGTGCTTTTTGACGTATGTTTGGGGTCATTGTCCTGCTGGAAGACCCAGGATCTTGGACGCAAACCCAGCTTTCTGACACTGGGCCCTACAGTGCGACCCAAAATCCTTTGGTAATCCTCAGATTTCATGATGCCTTGCACACAGTCAAGGCACCCAGTGCCAGAGGCAGCAAAAAAACCCCAAAACATCATTGAACCTCCACCATATTTTACCGTAGGTACTGTGTTTTGTTCTTTGTAGGCCTCATTCGTTTTCGGTAAACAGTAGAATGATGTGCTTTACCGAAAAGCTCTATCTTGGTTCTCATCTGTCCACAAGACGTTTTCCCAGAAGGCTTTTGGCTTACTCAAGTACATTTTGGCAAACTGTAGTCTTGCTTTTTTATGTCTCTGTGTCAGCAGTGGGGTCCTCCTGGGTCTCCTGCCATAGCGTTTCATTTCATTTAAATGTCGACGGATAGTTCGCGCTGACACTGATGCTCCTGAGCCTGCAGGACAGCTTGAATGTCTTTGGAACATGTTTGGGGCTGCTTATCCACCATCCGGACTATTCTGCGTTGCAATCTTTCATCAATTTTCCTCATCCGTCCACGACCAGGGAGATTAGCTACAGTGCCATGGGTTGCAAACTTCTTGATAATGTTGCGCACTGTGGACAAAGGCAAATCTAGTTCTCTGGAGATGGACTTGTAACCTTGAGATTGTTGATATTTTGCCACAATTTTGGTTCTCAGGTCCTCAGACAGTTCTCGTCTCCTCTTTTCTGTTGTCCATGCTTAGTGTGGCACAGACAGACACACAATGCAAAGGTTAAGTGAACGTCTCTCCTTTTTATCTGCTTTCAGGTGTGATTTCTATATTGCCCACACCTGTTACTTGCCCCAGGTGAGTTTACAGGAGCATCACATGCTTGTAACATTCTTATTTATCCGCAGTTGTGAAAGGGTGCCAATACTTTTGTCCAGCCCATTTTTGGAGGTTTGTGTGACATTATGTCGAATTTGCTTTCTTTCCTCCCTTTTTTTGTTTTTTGTCCCAATACACACAAAGGGAATAAACATGTGTATAGCAAAACATGTGTTAAAGCAATACGTTTCGTGAGAAATACATGATTTCCTGGAGAAATTCAAGGGTGCCAACAATTTCGGCCATGATGTATATATATATATATATATATATACTGTATGTATATATATAGTGCTTGTTGAAATATATTTTTTTTAACATATAAAAAAAGGCATTTTAACATATATTTTTACATATATTTGTAAATGCATTCCAAAAATGTAGAATTGTATTTTTAAAGACATACAGTATATTTGAAATGTATTTTTAAAAATATTTTTCATATATTTTGTAATAAAAACGCATTTCAACATGCAGTATATATATATATATATATATATATATATATATATATATAAATATATTTTTTGAAATATATTGAATATGGCCAAAATTGCAGTGTAACGGAACTGACCCCAAACTGCGCTTGGGTACTTCCATTAGACTACCGCTTCCCCGTCCAAACACCAACAACAGATACTACAGCTGACCATACAAGACTAGACGACACCAATCTTGACGTAATCCAGGAGGTAGACTAGTTTATTTTAACACAGATACAAGATATATACACTCAAAGGAACAATCCCCCTCCCTGCATAATGACACAGGGCGGGGCAATCTACATTTAGTAACCAGAGATGCACCAACAGACAGTCCCATCAGGAGGGTGGGCTGCTGGAGACACCCCCCACCAAGCCAATACACATAAACACATACATCCCTTAATAGTTTGCTCCAAAACCAGACACAAAATAGAACAATGGGATGCAATCACATAACATCAAACAATCAACAACCCCCCACCCCAATATTAGGACAGATCACCCTGTACTCCTAACAGGCACAGGGTAGTTTACACATAAGAGGGATATAGGGAGCTGAGACAGGGGTCTCCCCACCTCTCCAAAGTGAGCTGGGTTCCATGGGCCCCCCACCCAAAGTGACTCCCGTCACATGCAGCATTTCAAATATATGGCAATCTATTTGGGAAGAATATTTAAAAAATATATTTCAAATATATTTTTCTTCCATGTGGGTTTGTGCGTAGAAAGATGACATTGTATTGTTCTTTGCACTAGATGTTCGTCCTGGGTATTGTTATTCATCGTTATCCAATGGCCGTTGCACCAATCAGCTCCCCCAGCTGCTACCTAAGATGCAGTGTTGCTGTGATACTGGAAGATGTTGGTCTTCAGCAGCAACTACACCACCTGAAGTGTGCCCCTTCCGTGGGACAGGTGAGCCTGTATTTAAAGCTTTTGATATTTCATTTTAGGATAACATTATTTTAGCATTATCTTTTTTTTTAATATATCGATGCATACCAAGTAACTTTGCAGATATAAGGACCTGCTTCTCAAATATTATTCAAAAGAAGCTATAATGCTGTATTTATTTTTAAATATTAAAAAAAATGAATTTCTAATAATTGCAAAAAGAGATAGCTTGTGTAAAAACTAGGCAAGAGTTGTAAAGTTATGTGTTTCACAATATAATTATTGTATTTCATCTTAACAATTGTTTTGCTAATACATAAAATAGTAAAACTGAAACACATCTTTGTTATTGCACACGTACAGACCCAGACAAGACTGAATTTATGACATCCATGAACTGCTTTAGCTAGTAAAAAATCTGCAATTTTGTTTAGCCAGGTTCATAATCCTGATACAGGTTGATTTAATAAAGGCAAATAGACTGTTCACTTTGCAAAGGAATTTTCCTCAGAGCTTAGTAAATTTGGTAAAATTTATTTTGCACTGACAACCTAATCACGTGCAAGTAAAATAAAAAACAGCATATTTGCTTGCACATTATTTGATGATGGGAATCAGCAGAGCTTCACCTCATTCACTAAAGTCTGGGTAAAATTCCCTAGCAAAGTGCAACTTCCCATTCACAGTGAACATTCTATTTGCCTTTGAAACCTTCATTCCACCATGTCAGACAGAATGGTCAGATCAGTGATCTAATTTCAGTGCTGTTAAATGAGAAGTATGGGAATGTAAAAAAAAACATACTCACCTAGGAGGAGGTCCATTACTGCATCTGACGCCCGCCGTCTCTAAGACCGATAACTGCGAAATCAGAGACAGCTGATCGCTCAATTTTTTGGTCTTCAGTGAGCAGAGAGCTATGACTGTAAGTCACCAACTGTCTGCTTTGCCCCTCCAGTGATCACTGGAGCTCTGGGTTGTGGAGGGGATGGGAACAGCTAGCTCAGGCTCTCAGCAGTGTGCTGATCCAGCTGCCGGTCCAGGCATGTAGGTGGATCCTTACAATAAAGTCGGGATCTCTCCAGAGCCTGCACTGGCTCAGTGATGCCAGCCGACAGCAAACTTTAGACTGTTGGCTAAAAATGGGTCACAGAAGTGAAGAACAATGTGCTTTTGCTCTCCTTCTTTTTTAAGTTACATGAATATACACTGACTTTCCATCGGCTTGCAAGGCACTGAAGGAACATCACACTGATGAGGTTATTATTATCTGAATACTCTGCTCTCACCCCTTGTCAGTAAGCTCCTGGGGTTAGATTGTCAGCACTGTGAAGAGCAGTGTGATTGGCTCCTAATTTTGGAGTCTAAAATCAAGAAAGATTAATGCACCTATGCTAGATATATCTTAAAACTAGATATTAGGAGAGTTAGGAGGGCCCTGCTCCTTGGAGCTTACAATCTAAGAGATGGACACAGCCCACTCTTCTCTACGGGTGGTCGGATGAAAACTGAGCACCTGTCCATTTCCATCCGACTGTCATCCGATCCGCCAGTTGAACAAGGTACGGGTCCCCATTCCTCTGTTTTTAGCAGAATGCCGGTGGGTGTCAGTGGACACATGTCCACTGACATCCGCCACTCCATATACAGCTGTGGATGGTCCGGTCCGGTCCAGCTGAAAAACTGACAGGTGGACCCGATTGGTCCGTCAGTGTGAAAAGGGCCATAGGCCACTGTTGCTGTAAAGCTCTTTTTCAAAATGTACCTTGGATAATGTGTATTGTATTGAAATTTTTCTCTTGAGTGCTTGATTTCAGAGAGCACAGCACACACTCCTTTGCTTTCACACACACACACACAATGATTTGTTAATAATACAAAAGTGATAATATTGTGTATTTTATTATCTACAGCAGGGCCTAAAATTTCAAGTCCTGAGCTACTAGCCAGGCCTTAAGAGTTACTCGCCAAGTTGCCCCACCCAACCCCTACCCTGCTACACCCCTAATTTCGCCCCTAAGCATGCCCTCGTAAATTATTTCATGAAATTACACTGTTAAATGTTACCCACATTACATCAGGGCCTCCAATGTCCCCCCTAAACACTCCATCATACTTAGACCATGCAGCGCATACAACCATAACCCCCCATAATCTTTCACTCACAAAACCATAACTCTACCAAGCATATCCTACCTTCTATCCAACCCAGCAGTACCTGAAATGCCCCATACTCTACCACTCATAATATCCACATAATCCTGAACCAGACCAAACCACCCATACATGTAGGTTTACATACAGACACATGTACATACACACCACCTTTACACACACATACAAACATGTACACACGCACAGAGACACATGTACACACACACACACACATACAGACACATGTACACACACACACAGACACATGTACATACACAGAAATACACATGCACAGACACATGTACATACACACAGACACATGTACATACACACAGACACATGTACACACAGACACATGTACGTACATACCCACAAACACACACACACACACACACATGTACACACACAGGCACATGTACACACACATGTATGTACATACACGCAGACACATGTACAGATACACACATGTACATACACACAGACACATGTACATGCATACAGACACACAGATACATGTACACATACACACATACAAATACACACACACACACACACATACAAATACACACACACACACACACACACACATACAAATACACACGCACACACACACCCCTATAAAAAAAAATGCAGTACTTCGTTACCTTCACTCACAGAGCCGGGTACTGCACTCTAGGGGGAGGCAGAGAGCACAGGACACACACCTTCCTTTGCTTTCACTTTGCTCAACTATTGAGCAGTCTGACGGCTCCCAGTGCGAGTGACAGATCCGGCCCTGAGTTCCGAGCCTGCTCAGCAAGACAACCCTGGGTACACACTCACCCCCACCTTAATTTCCACTCGCCAATGCGAGCAGGTGAGTGGAAATTTCAAGGCCTGATCTACAGTACGTATTGAGAATCTTCAATTTCTATAGTTTTCGGTTCATGAGCTTAAAGTGGTAGTAAACTCTTTTTTTAATACTTTTACCTACAGGTAGACTTATAATAAGCTTCTAATAAAACTTACTTGTAGGTAAAATGAATATCTCCTAAATGTGCACTGTTTATAAGATAATCTCTGTTTTTGAGAGCTGGCACATGCGCTTTGAAGGAACAGCATACCCGTGCCGTTCTTTCAGAGCACTGTGCCGTGGGCTGGGACTCCCATGCGCATGTAGATCCGGGTGAAGATTAAAGCCTCTACAGTGGTGTCAGCACGCCGCTCGAGGGCTTCGTTGTAAGGTAAGTCCTTTATAATATGCATTCTGACATTCTGACATTCCCATTATGACATTCCCTCTGCAGGTTGCCGTTTACTACCTCTTTAAAAAACTAATATTTATTAGTACATTAGTGATAAGCAATCAAGAGAACATTTTCAATACAATACACATTATCCAAGGTACATTTTGAAAAAGATCTTTACAGTGACAGTGGCCTATGGCCCCTTTCACACTGACGGACCAATCGGGTCCACCTGTCAGTTTTTCAGCTGGACCGGATTGGAAAATCCATAGCTGTATATGGAGTGGCGGATGTCAGTGGACATGTGGACACCCGCTGGCATTCTGCTAAAAACAGACGAATGGGGACCCGTACCCCGTTCATCTGGCGGATCGCATGACAGTTGGATGGAAACAGACAGGTGGTCACCCCTAAGAGAAGAGTGGGCTGTGTCCATCTCTTAGATTGTAAGCTCCAAGGAGCAGGGCCCTCCTAACCCTCTTGTATTGATCTGTATTGTCTCCCGTTCTATTGTAAAGCGCTGAGCAAACTGTTGGTGCTATTTAAATCCTGTATAATAATAATAACGGAGGAGACACGTACCTGTCATCTGCCTGCTTAGCGGGGATCAGCGGAGAGATGCTTGATGGAGTCTGCCCCGTCTGAGAGGGGCCTATGGGGCAAGAAATATAAAAAAAAGAAAAAAGGGAGCTAAAATACATCTGGTGCTGAACTCTGACTGTATTGTGAGGATTTGTAGATCGTCCCAATGTTTGATATTGGTGTTGTCGATGTGGCAATTAGGAGCTAAGAATCTTTAAATATTTGTGTGAATATTGGCTTTAGTTTTCCAATCAAATTCCCGTTTACCTGTTTTATCTGCATATGACTGGTTAATTTAAAGTGGAATTCCGGCTATACCCCCGATTACCCTTAAAATTTTCTCCTCCCCCTCCTAACATCTAGGCTAACTAACCTGTGTAAGAAAGATGTATATACTTCACTATTTTCAGGCTGCTCTGGTCCAGTCACATGATCCCTTATGTCAGCCAGCAGTGGTTGCAGGGGAGGAGAGAAAGTGTCCTGACAACGGCTAGTAAAGCCTGGAGTGGTGACATCACTTTTGCCACCAAAACAGAAATAGATAGTATATCCAAATTTTTACAGTTGTCAGAAGAACAGAAGGTAAGGGGAAATCTTCAAATGGGGACTGTCTAAGAGAGGAGTTCCACTTTGTACAGATTTCCTCTCTCTACAACAGAAAGTGAGCATAAGGCAAGCCATAGATGATTCGATTTTCTTTCCTTCCACAACGGGTCTATTCCTCCCGCAGTGCTATTGTGCTCTCTAGGGAGCACGGGGAGCCTTCCTGGCCGGTAGAACACAACTATTAGTAGTGGCTACAGCCATCAGCATTATTTGTATGTAAAAAAATCCAACAGGCTGGTTTTACCTAAGTTGACCAATAAATTGATTTGGGTACAATCAGCCTGCCCATAGATGGATCAAATCTTGGCCGGTCCCTGCTGAACCAGCCAAAATTTAATCTATGGTCAGCTTAAAGTGTTACTAAACCCACAACAGTAAAATCAGTCTGTATATGCAGTAAAGCATGCTTGGTATACTCACTGTGGAACCTAAGGGGTTAATCCTCTGCATTGTGTAAAAAGGCTATTTGTTCCTGGTTGCTCTGTTCCTCCCCTTGTTTAAGCATCCACCTCTTAACTCCTAATGAGACTGACTGAATGGTTGGCATTTTGCACATGCTCAGTTTGATATGTATTGCTATAGAGGTTCTTTTTTTCTTGGGAGAGTGCATGTGATCAGCACAGGGCCAATCAGCACTGGTCAGAGAGAGGTCAGGGGTTTTGCATCCTTCTAAAGCAGAAAGAAACCTCCTCCTACAAGCTTTAGCTAGTGCTTGGCTGAACACTGATAGAAACCACAAGACTGCTATAACTTCTGATGAGAAAAAGTATTTAGCAGTTTATATTTACTAAAATAATTACACTTCCATGTTCTTTGTACTGTGGGAGACCAGATATAGTGAATGCAGGGTCTGGGGTTTAGTAACACTTTACCCCTTGTCAACAGGAGGAAGAAAAGCAGGGGCTTTATTACTTTGCTATTATTTAAAACCATAAAAAAACTGGGGTATACACACACTTGTACATGCAAACATTCATACACTTTTTCATTTTGGATATAATTTTAAATGGTTAAAACCGCATCAGGTTTTTTGCCATATGTATCCCATTAAACAGATTTCTCTTCACCTGCCATAGACACAACAAAAAGCAAAAGGAAATCTTTTCAAAGTGAGGGAAATCCTCTTTTAGACTGTCAATTGTCTAGGGAGCAGGTGTTCCCATTGGAAGATTTCTGTTTTATTCTTGATTCAGTGCCAACCATAAAATTTTATATTTCCCATTACATTCTTTCTTAGTGACAGTGGTTATTAGAGCAGAGAGGATGAATCTCCTTCAAAAGAAGCACATATAGTAATAAAAAACATGAGACGGCTGATAACCCTTCATAAAAATTGGTAACACATACTCTGTAAGCAATGAGGTTTAGTGGATCCCAGAGTAGGGTAAAACACAGAGCTCCCTCTAGTGGTCAATCTACAAATCTCTGTGTTCAGTACCATAGGAGAAATATGACATGCAAGCATTTCAGCTTGTGGAAGTCATATCAAAAATGGTTTTAAACTTAGCTTGACAAGGAAAGCTTAATATATTTACTCACTAAAAATATATTACTCTTTCCCTTTATGTATTTATCTTTTTGTACATTTCCAGTGTATATGTTCAGTTCATGTTATAGTGAAGAGTTTGCTGCCTCATAGGATATGCTTGTACAAACATTCACAGAGAACATAACAGAGAACCTGTTATAAATTACAAACGCGGTGGTGGAGGGGGAAAGAAAATGAAAAACTAGAAAAGAGAAAAGGTAGAAATGAAGAATACAAATTCAGGTTAGTGTATTTACACTTTGTTTCTAATAATGTTTCTGTTTTTATTCTAGAGGAATACCGGAAACTGTGCACAATGTCTTGGGCACGTCCTGGACAGATCCCTGGACTGGAACCAGGACCAGTTATTCCTCCTGGGTTGCCTTATCCTCCAGATTACTTTCCTCCGATAGGTCCTCAGATTCCACCAGGCTATCCTCCTGTGTTTCCACCACCAGTTGTTCCTGGATATCCTACCCGGGCTCCACCAGGTAAAACAGACAAAATTAAGAACATACTACAGTTTTGTTTCTTAGTTTTTCTTACATAGTTACATAGTCAGTGAGGTTGAAAAAAGACATTAGTCCATGTAGTTCAACCAACATGAAAAAGATATTGAAAACCCCCATATACACAATCCTATACCCACAGTTAATACAGCTTTGCTGTAATGTGTTTACATTTTAATGCATAGTCTTTAATTGATAGTTTGGTAAGATACCTTACAATTTTAATGTGTTGTTACATGATGGCGCTCCGGGTTCTGTATAACCTACACTATGTAACGGAACCGACCCAGACTGTGCTTGAGTACTGCCATTAGCATACCGCTTCCCCGTCCGAACACCGACAACAGACACCACAGCCGACCATACCTAGACAATGGTTTGATGAATTAGGATCTCACTACAGAGCAGACGGTCCGACTCCTACACTGGAGTAGAGGAGAGGCCAGCATAATCAGCTCTTTCAATTCAAATGTCTAGTTCAGAATCAACAACCAGGAATAGTCTTCATATGGCTGATAAATATTACTGTCCCATCTGAAGTAATTCCGACCGCATTCTCAGCATCCATTAGTCACTCTGTGCCCCTAAGAGACACAGGGTGACTTGCACATAAGAGGGATATGGGGATCTGAGACAGGTGTCTCCCAACCTCTGCAAAGTAAGCTGGGTTCCATGAGCCCCCACCCAAAGTGACTCCCGTCACACATTATAGCTACACTAGGCAAGAACAACACTTCTACACCTCTGCACCTACCAGAACACACTAGATAAAAAGGGTGGCTGGGAATTGAAAAAGTCGGAATTGTGTTACACATGAAAACTGGCTGCATCTGATTGGATACAGCCACTGGTCAGCCAACAATTTTTTTGTTCAGCTCCTTTAATCCTTCATTTAAAGGATGTTGGTCAGAAGGGTGGTGACAGGGCCACCTACTGAGTGATCTTCAGCCGGTCTTCGCATAGTGTATGATCAGCTTTAACCTGGCCATAGATGGATTGAAATTCATCTGGTTCAGCAGGAACCAATCGAATTTCAATCCATCTATGGGCAGGCTGGTTGTAGTGAAGTTGATCCATAAATCGACTTCAGTACAACAAGCCTGTCAGGGTTTTCTTTTGTACGATTACTGCTGCCAGCTATAGCTAGCAGTAATAATCTTTGTATTCTAACAGCTGGGAAGCCTTCTGCTGTCAGAATACAATAGCACAGTGGAAGGGTTTCCGCCAGTCCCTATGTGTTGATGGGAGAATCAAGCGAGAATCAAGCAATCAAGGAAAAAAAATTGCTTCATATACGGCCAGCCTTAGTCAGCTAAGGAGATAAGGAGGAAAGCTACGGAATGAGGAATGCTTGGTAATGATTGAAAAATTAAGGTTCACATTCAGTCAATTATCTTTCGTGTCTAAGAAAAATATAATTTGTAGTTCAAAATAAAAAAATGCATTGCAAATAAAAAAGCATATTACAGACAGTACTCAACTGTGTACAAGTACACTAATATGGCTCTGGTCAATTGGTCAAAAAAAAAATACAACCTTAGAAAAATACATGGTTTCAGGAAATTTAAATTACATCACCTTTTTGCAAAAAGATTAAATGTTTGACTCTTTTACTAATGTTACATCTAAGTCACTTACTGTAAGACTGCTTGTTATCAGATGTCTTTTCCTCTAATGTTGTTATGTCTTGTACAATTTAAACTAAAAAAAGATATCAATCTCCTGGAGTTATTTTTGTACAGCCTTTAGCTTCGTGATCTTCTGATTTTGAAGTATAATGAATGTCTTTGCTATCTGCCATGCGGGTGCTTTAGCAGATATCAGTTCTCATTTTTCTATGCAAGGATTTCAACAGGATTATTAAACCAATGTCTTTCAATGTTTTCTACGAGGCCCTGACTACACAGTTTTGTACTCCCTGTCCTCTGCTCACTGCTCCTCAAACAACTTTTAGTATTCAGGTTTACCAAGAAACTTTCAAACTCATTTACTGCTTCACTCCTCTTACCTTCCTGACCGGTGGCTAGTTTCAGTCTCCAGTGACTGTTTATCTGATCTGTCACCTACATACTAGATTAGGTCCAGACCTAATATAGCGATGGGTTGACTTACATGGCACTTCCTCTCTTCTGGTTAATTTAAATAAAGTCAATTGAGGCTGTTCAATCTCTGGCTCTGCCAATCCCCAGCGATATTCATTTACTTTTTGCTTTAGCCATCACCACATGACATCACCTTCATCATTGCCTTTCCTTCTCCAGAAAGCCACATTTTTGCCTTTTCTGTTTGTGTGAAACTGCAGGCCCTAGGATGAACCACTTTTGTTCCCCCAGTGTACACAAAACCATAAGTCACAGTAAATCCCGCTTGTTTGTCCCTGTTTGTGTAGGATAAAAGGCTGAGCATGGCCATTTCCACAATGAGGGCTTCAAACATGGCCCCACTTATCCTGCTTTTGCTGCAGTCTGCAATGGGTGGTGACCATCTGCATGCCCCAGGATGACAGGAGCATCAATCCTCTCTGGGTACAATGCAATGTACATTGCAAAGATTTTAAAGAAGGACTCTGGGATAGGCAAAAAAATCACCCAATAGTACACCCCCTACACAAACCACTAAACAGTTAATAACATTTTGAAAATCCTTACCATTTAGGCGAAAAATCTAATTGAATTTTCATGACCTCATCTCTGTAATTCAAAAGATAGCAGTATCTGCTCTGCCAAGGAAGAGGTGTAACAGCAGGGATTACATCATATCCTTTCCTGCCTCTCTGCAGTAAAAGAAAATTACAGTTCCCATTAACCACAAGGAATTGTAGTGAATGTGGGTGGGTACACTAGGCCTGTACATGATGAATGTGTCCGAGAGTCACGGTCCACCAACCACTGCAAGTGGGGCTGAATGACATCACTGCTTCCTGGAGTAAGAACTACAGAAGGGATGTGTCAAGACCAGTGGCTGGGGGAATAGGAGGCATAGCTTCTTCTTCTTACAAACAGAAAACCAAAGTGAATTAATGGTTTGATTTGAAAATGATAGGCTGTTTCAGAGCAACTACTGAGTGAACCAGAAGATGGATGACATATTCAGTGAAGATAGGAAATCAGCAACAAAGACATGTAAAGAAATGTTTGCCTAAAATTCTGCTTTAACAAACTTTGTTGCAGATTCCTACGTTTCTGCTCTTTAGAAATAACTGTTTGTTGTGTGCAGAGTAAATGCCAAATGCCAACACACATTAATTTGCACTATGATGTGTTTCTGTTGACATTAGTGGAAACGCATCTGACCAAAAATGGAAAGTGTAAATGCAACCTGTGGAAACCCTTTATTGACTTTTTCTGTCTTCTAAAAGTTTGTTACTCTACGATCCACTTTCAACTGCTTAGAGAAGCCACATGAGGAGGTTGTAGGGGTCAAAGAATATTGTAAGCTCTAGAAATTTCTCTCTTTGACCTGAGATTAGAGCCCAACAAGCTGTTTAATTTTTTGTAAATTGAATGAACTCATGAACTCCTGCATATCCTACATTTCAAGATATTCCCAGTCTGTAAAATCTAGCAAATTTTAACTGCAAATTTAGAGTAGAAGAAACATGTCATGATTATTTTCTGTCCCTGTTTGAGTTTACTATTTTCAGTGAGTAGATCAAGAAAAGTGTCATTTAGCAAGGAATATTCAATGGTCGACCCAACATTTTCCATTTTGTTGTATCTTATATAGATGTAGGCATATACATTTTAATGTTCCGATAACTGCACATTTTGCAGTCTCTCATTTTCTAACTTTAATAGTTCTTCTATATGCCCTTTTTCTCCTTATTGAATGTCTATCAGCTATTTAGACATATACACTGATCAGCCATAACTTTATTACCATCTTCCATATTCTGTTAAGGCATGGACTCTACTAGACTTCTGAAGGTATGCTGTGGTATCTGGCACCAAGCCATCAGTAGCCGATTCTTTACATTCTGTAGGTTGTGAGGTGGGGCCTCCGTGGATCCAGCTTATCCCACAGATGCTCGGTTGGATTGAGATTTGAAGAATTTGGAGGCCAAGCCAACATCTCAAACTCATGTTCCTCAAACCATTCTTGAATTTATCACACCAGGCCACCTTCTTTGCTTGTGTCTGGGGACACAGGTCATCATGGACACCCTGACCAGTTTGCAGCTATGCAGCCCCATACGCAATAAATTGTGATGCTCTGTGTATTCTGACACCTTTCTTTCGGAACCAGCATTACTGTTTTCAGCAATTTGAGCTACAGTAGCTCTTCTATTGGATCAGACTTTACAGGTCAGCCTTCGCTCCCCATGTGCATCAGTGAGTATTGGTCGCCCATGACCCTGTTACCTGTTTGCTGGTCTCCTTCTTTGGACCACTTTTGGTAGGTCCTGACCACTGCAGACTGGAAAATCCCACAAGAGATGCAGTTTTGAAGTTGCTCTGGCCCAGTCATCTAGCAAATACAATTTGGCCCTTGTCAAAGTCATGCAAATTCTTACACTTGCCAATTTTTTCTGATTTCAGCAAGTCAGCTTCAGGGACAACATGCTCACCCGTTGTCTAATATATCCTACCCACTTTCAGATGTCCTGGTAACGAGATAATCAATGTTATTTACATTACCCATCATTGGACATAATGTTACGGTTGATTGATATACTGTATAATCATGGAGTGATTTATCCCATTATTGGAATCAAACAAACGAATATAAAATATGTATTTTGTGCTAAAATATTAATACAATATGAATTCATTGCAGCTAAAAGTTGCAGTCATTTACCCCTAAATTGCTAGCTATGCTGCCATCTTCTGCTTTGTGTCTCATGGTTTACATTGTGGGGTTCAATACTTTTAAGATGTCTGAATTGTGCTTGTGCTCTCCTTTATGTACTATTTATTTCTTCTCACCATTCTTTGCAGTGGTTCTGCCGGTAAACCTTACACAACAGCAGCCTGTGACAGATTACTGTGTTCTGTTCCGGAACCTGTGTTTGCATGGTCGCTGCATCCCTACTCCTGGAAGCTATCGTTGTGAGTGTAACAAGGGATTCCAGCTAGACGGTAGAGGAGAATGCATAGGTAATGTATGTTTTTTTTTTTTTTTTGCCTTGAATGTGTTTGATAAACTGATTATTGTGCTATTCTGTACAATAAAAAAAAATTAACTGGGCAGAATCCCAGGTTACCACCATGCCGTTTCAGAAAACAGAAAAGTGGTAAAAGAACCGCCATGTAATATACTTATTGTGAGATAAATTCTGCTTAACCACTTCAAGTCTGGACACTTTCACCCCCTTTCATTATGAGACAATTTTCAGCTTTCAGCACTGTTGCACTTTAAATGACATTTGCACGGTCATGCAACACTGTACCCATATGAAAGTTTTATCATTTTTTTCACACAAATAGAGATTTCTTTTGGTGGTATTTTTATTTCTTGCTAACATTTTTGCCAAACTTTTTTTTTTTACAATTTTGCAAATAAATAATCTTTTATTTGCAAATGGCTGCAATCCTGCAGCCATTGATAAATAATGTAAGGGCTGTGATTGGTCACAGCTTATCACATGGTACAAAGCTGCTGTGAATGGCCTTGTACCTTATGATCTTTGTAGATGATCACAGAGCCCACAGTAGTAAACTATGATGCCAAGAAATTATATGTTTACTACTGTGCATTTGATCACCGATTGGCCAATCAGCGATCACAGTGATCCATGTTCAACCGGACACAGTGGGCAGAGATTGTGCCGGTGCCTGCTCCCAGGGTAATGTCCACCTGCATCTGTGCTGCTCCCATTTGCCCGTTTATGTGGATGGGCCAAATGGGAAGAGATTAAGAAAAGCAACTTGAGCTTGGGTTCTATCCAAACACGGAAGTTAGCTGTCATTGCTGGGCCATTGAGCTGCAGGTTCACTTTGCCCATATTAGTTCAATGATGTCACAAGCTTCCTTGGACCTTTCTACAGTGCCTTGAAAAAGAATTCATACCCCTTGAAATTTTTCACATTTTGTCATGTTACAACCAAAAACGAAAATTATAAATGGTTTTCAAACATTTTTACAAATAAATATTTAAAAAGTGTGGCATGCATTCGTATTCAGCCCGCTTTACTCTGATACCCCTAACTAAAATCTAGTGGAACCACTAGGACAACTATTAGTGAGGTCATAAATGGCTTGTGTCCCTTTTAAGTAGACTAAGGATGGATGTGATTAACAATCTTCAGAGCTAGGGATCCCCTCACTTCCTTAAGACTCTTCCTCCATTGATATACAGTGGGGCAAAAAAGTATTTAGTCAGCCACCAATTGTGCAAGTTCTCCCACTTAAAAAGATGAGAGAGGCCTGTAATTGGCATCATGGGTAGACCTCAACTATGAGAAGACAAAATGAGAAAAAAAATCCAGACAATCACATTGGCTGATTTGGAAAGAATTTATTTGCAAATTATGGTGGAAAATAAGTATTTGGTCACCTACAAACAAGCAAGATTTCTGGCTCTCACAGACCTGTACCTTCTTCTTTAAGAGGCTCCTCTGTCCTGCACTCATTACCTGTATCAATGGCACCTGTTTGAACTTGTTATCAGTATAAAAGACACCTGTCCACAACCTCAAACAGTCACACTCCAAACTCCACTATGGTGAAGACAAAAGAGCTGTCGAAGGACACCAGAAACAAAATTGTAGACCAGCACCAGGCTGGGAAGACTGAATCTGCAATAGGCAAGCAGCTTGGTGTGAACAAATCAACTGTGGGAGCAATAATTAGAAAATGGAAGACATACAAGACCACTGATAAATTCCCTCGATCTCACCCCGTGGGGTCACAATGTTCACAAGAACGGTGAGCAAAAATCCCAGGACCACACGGGGGAACCTAGTGAATGACCTGCAGAGAGCTGGGACCAACGTAACAAAGGCTACCATCAGTAACACACTACGCCGCCAGGGACTCAGATCCTGCAGTGCCAGACGTGTCCCCCTGCTTAAGCCAGTACATGTCCGGGCCCATCTGATGTTTTGCTAGAGAGCATTTGGATGATCCAGAAGAGGATTGGGAGAATGTCATATGGTCAGATGAAACCAAAATAGAACTGTTTGGTAGAAACACAACTCATTGTGCTTGGAGGAGAGAGAATGCTGTGAACACATACCTACTGTGAAGCATGGGGGTGGCAACATCATGCTTTGGGGCTGTTTCTCCGCAAAGGGACCAGGACGACTGATCCATGTACAGGACAGAATGAATGGGGCCATGTATCGTGAGATTTTGAGTGCAAACCTCCTTCCATCAGCAAGGGCATTGAAGATGAAACGTGGCTGGGTCTTCCAACATGACAATGATCCCAAACATACCACCTGGGCAACAAAGGAGTGGCTTCGTAATAAGCATTTCAAGGTCCTGGAGTAGCCTACCCAGTCTCCAGATCTCAACCCCATAGAAAACCTTTGGAGGGAATTGAAAGTCCGTGTTGCCCAGCGACAGCCCCAAAACATCACTGCTCTAGAGGAGATCTGCATGCAGGAATGGGCCAACATACCAGAAACAGTGTGTGCCAACCTTGTGAAGACTTACAGGAAACGTTTGACCTCTGTCATTGCCAAGAAAGGATATATAACAAAGTATTGAGATGAACTTTTGATATTGACCAAATACTTATTTTCCACCATAATTTGCAAATAAATTCTTTCCAAATCAGCCAATGTGATTGTCTGGATTTTTTTTCTCATTTTGTCTCTCATAGTTGAGGTCTACCTATGATGCCGATTACAGGCCTGTCTCATCTTTTTAAGTGGGAGAACTTGCACAATTGGTGGCTGACTAAATACTTTTTTGCCCCACTGTATATGCCATAAAGAATAATGAAAACATAGTGTCTTATCTTCTTTTAAAATATTTATTAAACATAAAGTAGTGCACTCACATGTAAATGCTAATACAAATCGCTTTAGAATAAATCCACAGTATTTGACAGCATTCAATTCAATGTGCTTGCTGTGTACTTGCTGTGTAACTGCCTGTCTCCTTAAGCGTCGTGACGTCGGAGCCCCTCTGACGTCACAATGCTTAAGGAGACAGGCCGTTACACAGCAAGTACACAGCAAGCACATTGAATTGAATGCTAGCAAATACTTTGGATTTTTTTTAAAGCGATTTTATCAGCATTTACATGTGAGTGCACTACTTTATGTTTAATAAATGTTTTAAAAGAAGATAAGGCACTATGTTTTCATTATTCTTTATGGCATATATAGCAATGGAGGAAGATTCTTAAGGAAGTGAGGGGATCCCTAACTCTGAAGATTGTTAATCCCATCCAACCTTAGTGCAATCAAGAGGGACACAAGCCATTTATGACCTCACGTAACAGTTTGGTCACATGTACCAGGTGAAAGCACAGCTGGTGAATGTGCACGCATGGTTGTTACAACTACGCAATGGTGGTGAATTGAACACATATTCTTTTGTCCATATCACTGGAAAGAGTGTGAAATCACTGATTTAATATGGACACTTAACATTGGAAAAGTGTTATTGCATTTGGATACAAAAACATTTTTTGGGAATATTTATATTTTTTTTGGCAATTATTTCACTTGTCAGTGGAGTGTGACACTATTTCATTTATTTTGATTTGTTATGACACATTAGTATGGGTATGTCTGGGCGATCTACTGTTATAATTCAATTGTTATATAATTTCATAGCTCTTTATTTGTTTATATTTTGTGGCACCATAGTAGCTCGCAAGACCCCACATATTATTTTTATTTTTATTGGCCTTTCGATAATGATTCCTAAATCTCTTATGTTCAGCAGCGATCACTACCCTGTGCATGTTGTCACAAATAAAAACAATTTCACTGACAGATAGCAGACAGTAGGGGCAGCCCTGCTATTTAAACTGAACATTAGGGGTGTAAATTTGCATAGCTGTTCATCCACTGAAACCACATTTACTTGATCTTTGTGAATAGGGGAAAGATCAAATGTTCTCAGGCTGTATTATCTGCGATTTGAATGTGCGAATACAGAAAATACTGCATTATGGCCACTAGATGACTCTGATTATCACAGAAATAAGCATGCATCTGTGCTCCTTCTAGTAACAATACGGTGCTATTTTCCACATTTACACATATGAATTGTCAGAAATTGAAATAGAAATTCCTAAATGTATCCTTCTGTAAAGGTTCAGTGGTCTTCTTTTTAGATCACAGACATGCTTTACCACCCATGGTATATGAGTACTTTTAACCTGAAGGTTGTTTCATCCAAGAGAGAACACACAGTACAGATGTGTAATGAGTTCATGCCAGAAATCATACTCACCAGACTGACCACTTTCAGATTTGAGTCATAAGGCATCTATCTATAAAAAAAATATAGTTTTCAGTGATCTTATTTTACTTAATGGGCAGCAGAAAACATACAAATAATAGACAAAATGCTGTTCTTCCAACTTAGTGTAGTAAAATCAAAATTGTTACTTTTACTATTTTTTTTGCTTAAGAATGGAATCAGTTTTATGTAATATTTTTTTTTACCGCTGGTGAACCTTGGGAGCAGTTTGTTAAACTAGCCAGGAAGCCAAAGCTAAGTAGGAAATGGACATTCCAACAATCTCAAGAATGCATCAAACATGTTAAAGAAATTCTCCCTGGAGGGATGATAGAAAATTTTGGTTACAACTTTCTCAGTAAATAATAGCACAAAAAAATACGTATGTATAAGATGACGGAAAACAGGAAACACACAATTATGATGTTTATTTCAATCATAAATTTGGGATAAACATATTATGATGCCTATAACTGAATTTTATCACTAAGGTAAACATCTGTCTGAGAAGCCTCTGAACGAAGCAGCCAGTTGCCAGTTTATAAGCTGTGGTTAGTGACAGTGTACATAATAAAAAACCTGTTAGTGGAGCCACTACTCTGGAACTAGTCCAGGGGTGTCCAAACTGCAGGCAAAGGGGCCGCATGTGGCCCAAAACACATAGGAGTGCGGCTCAACACAAAATTGTAAACTTACTTAAAAGTGTTGAACAGTGTCTCTTTATTGGACA